ACGAGCTGGCTTGTACCGAGATGTCGATACCACGAAGAGCGGATGTCAATAGCACGAAGTCACTCCTTTCGCGAGGGAGAAACCGCGTCAGTCGATTTTACAGCGTTTTCGCGGCACCGTGTAGAAAAAACGCGCAACCGTGCTGTTGCTCGATCGACGATCGGAATAAGCGTTCGCGGCTACTCGCCTCGAGAATCGATCGCGCACGAGTCCAAGTTCCAGGACGAGCGTAGGCCAACTTTTTCAACAAAAAAAAAAAAAAAAAAAAAAAAAAAAGAAAAAAAAAAACTTTTTCAACTGGTTTCTTTACCTTTAGTTCCCTAAGCTGGAAACTTGCGTCCGCTGGTAGCAGCGTTCGTTCACCGGATCCCTTGGAAACGTTCGATCCGCAGCACTGTTTCTGACACCTTTCGTCGAGTTAATGGGTATGCTCCGAGCGTGCTTTTCTATTACTTTGCACCGCTCAAAAACGAATTCTGCTGTTTCTGTCCGTGCGCAGAGCTCAGTCAAGACCAGGTACAGTCTTGACAATAGAGCATTGCGCTGCAAGTAAAATACACCTCCGAAATTATCGTTATCGTATGCTCCCATGCTTTTCCGCTTGATAAACATGCAGTTTAGCAACTTTCTCAAAATTTGGTTGGTTTCGCTTTTCTTCTGGAAAAAGAGTTCCATTTTATCAGCAAAATCAGTTGTAGAACGTACCAAGGAACTAATATAGTTTTTCTTATTTACTAACAAAGACTGTACTATAATATTGCGGCAGTAAGTATTTCCAGAATATATTATTTCAGAGATATTTTGGATCAATATTTCAAGATATTCGCAACAATTCTCAACGAAACAAGCATTCCGCAATTTTCTTCATGTTGGCTCTCGTCAGCCAGAACAATATCTTCGTCACTTTCATTATTTGAACTTTCATTCGTTTCCTTTCAATAACTTCTTTTAATTGTTGTTATTCTTTTAAATTTTCTTCTAGTTTGTCCTCATATGATGACAGAGTTATTACAGCAGCACTTTCAAAACACTTGTTATGTTCCTTAATGGGAATTTTTGGTAATTTCTTCTGGTTTCTGCCAAGAGCTTTGACCACCAATTCTTCAGGAGAAAAGTCTATTCTAGTGTTCCTTTAGAGATATTAAAAAAATTTTGCCATCTTTTTTTAACCCATATTATCTTATCGATCCGATCTTCCAAAAAAATAAACATAATTAAGTACTTTATACATGACTTGTCTCATTTTAGGAAACTATGATATAATAACTATTTAAAGATTAGTTTTATTTTATTAGTACAAAAAAGTATCGCAATCACTTTCGACAGTCCTATAGATAAGTTAAGGTCTCATATTAGCAGACTTTACCCTATAATTCATGGCAACGTTCCAAATCTAATTCTTATCTTTTGTTTATAGTTGTTATAATTTATATTTACTGAAAAGTATTGTGTTTTTATTTTATCCTGGAGAAAAGAAAATTTTTAATTTCATGATCTTTTTAAAAAAAATAGAGACTACAATACCTTGTCAAGCAATTGATTTTAGCATAATAAAATGTTTAAGAAAAGGAACATAGCGAAATGTTGGGGAAAAATCGCTGAACTGCATATTTATCTTCTTTCTATAAGAAGAAAGAAACATTTAACTTTGTCTCAACATTCGTACAAAAGTACTACTTGAACATCCCTAATTCTCAACAGATTCAGAAAAAAGTTCCTCCTACGGAATTAAGTACACGTTTTAATTCGTTATGTTTCGCATTGACAAAGTACATGTACGTATTGTATACGTATTGGATATATAATCTGGCTGCAAGGGCAGTTATTCTAAGAAAAGAAACTAGCTATCGAATCAGATAAAATTAAACAGCTGTTTCCTCGTTTTTACCGAACTACCAGCAGCTTTTATATTCTTCTTCCTAGATTCATATCCTTTTTCCATTCCAACACACTGTTCATTTCCCATTCCTATATGATTGAAAATATAATTTACTTATAATATAATTTATTTATAATTTATTAATTAATTATAATTTATAATCTACTTATTTATTTATATATTATATACGTAACCTGAAATTTCATTAAGTGAAGTGTAAATTAAATTAATTTTATTGGCATGTTATTTTGTACGGCTAGCTAAGATACACCTCTTTCAGTACAAGAAAATTTCTATATCACTCGAGTATTCGAAACGTTTAAATTATCAACTTTTAGAAGAGTTTAGAAAACTTACGACTTTATTTGAAAATGTGGAAACGTTATCGGAAGCGAGGATAGTTTAAGAGGAAGCGAGAAAGAGAAAGAGTGAGAGAGAAGTGAAGAGAGGAAAAGAAAAACTGACAGAAAACAGCTGAGACGCAGCTGGTTACTGGCATCGCGACGGCTGGCGTCTTCCGCGCGAGGAACGCCGTCCATGCCTTCTGTGTATATATATGTGCATATGGCTGACGTGTGTGTACAGTACAAACCATCCATGGTAGAAAGCAGAATCGAAATCGCTTGTCAAAAAACATATTTAGAAGAGAAGCAATAAACGACTTTGAAAAGTTTTGCGATTCGTGTGTCGAGAAATACGAGGGGGGGAAGCACATTTATGTAAATAAAGATGGATACCTCTTAAAATAAATTTTTCTGTCGAAGAATTGTCACAGAGGTGGAGTCGACTTCGTAATGAAATTTCATTTCTGAAGAAACGCGTTCTTTTATTCTTTTGCCAGTTTCTATATTTGTTTAGTCGTGTACGAGACTCGTCGTTTGTAGTACGTAATTCCATAACTCGTATTTGTTGTCGTCAATTTTAACCTATTGTCAAATTTTAGTTAAAATCTAACGCGTTTACTTGTTAGTAAATAAGTAAAAGCAATTATACTTGCATTAATTATACTTACACCATCCTAACTATTACTTGAGTACCAATGTTGAACACGATGCATCATGACAATTTGCAACTGCTATACAAACTGACGACGAGTTCATTCTAACGGTGCGATTGTTCGCGCGCAATTCGCGCCAGGCTCTCAGGTATACATGTAGCGACATCTGTTTCTCAAACGTCTCGTCGAAGAGTTCATTTTAAAAGCTTTGTTAAACTCTAAAATAAGAAACTATATAAAAATCAATATTTTAACAAAATTATTATGGAGATATTTGTAAATAATTGTGAAGGATACTTAACAAATTAACGAAGGTATAAATAAGAGTTGTAAAATAGATAATCAAGATAGAACATTGAATATTGTATATCGTACATTCTAAAGTCTAAAGTTATTATCAATTAAAAGTGTATAAATAATTAATTAATTAATTATATCGTTCAATTAAATATTGTTAAATAATAGTTATTAAAAATATTAATATTAACAAAGTGTATAGTTATTTGTAGTACAGTGAATTTATAATTTATCGATCATCGTACCTACATACATGCATCTTTACCGACATCTATGAGACTTGACAAGAATTACGAGCGACCGGTAAAATCGATTCGAACGTGTTCCAGACTATTCCGAGAAATATCTTCCTCAATCGATCTTTCTCATTCGTATAAATACACACTGTACTTACCGCTACGAAATGATCGACGCTTCTACAGTGTACAAATAATGCTTTATTATTTCGTTAGTCGATACTGACAAAATTCACAGGTTTACCAGTTACAAATATACGATTGCGCGTACATCTACCTCTGTAAATTGCACGTGATCGAAACTTTCCAAATTTTCGTAGTTATTTGCTCCTCGATGGAACTGAACCGTTATTGTCGGCTAATCATTTTGCGCGATAACAATTAACGTATAAAATATCAATCTTCTTTTTCCTCTCTTTTTATCATTATTGTTATTATCATTATTATTATTATTATTATTAT